CCTGAGTCTTTCCCTCTTCCTTTAATCCATTCCTCTCCTTTCCTTTGCTAGTATTTTGGCCTATCTGATTGATAATTTAGTAGGTCTATTTCACTATCTTTCATAACATTTCAACAATCATACTAATTCGTCATTAGCCCAAATCTTTCTGTTCACAATACTCTTTTTATAATTAGCAGAAAATATATCTTACCTGAAGTGATCCTTACCCACATCCAATAGTTCCTGAATCACTAATTCTTTCCTTTCTTTATATCTGATCTAATGATATAGTTATGCTACTTTGTCTGGTGTCTTTTCAACTCTTCAAGACTGCCTAACATTATCCTATGAAGCCTATGATTTTGCACTTGTTACTCTTCCTTTATTTAAGAATTCTATATAGAATTCTCTATCTTTCTCTTCATGTAGGCCTTTTTCTCTTTCCATTCATCTTCTTCAACTTCGGTATCTCTTATTTTTCTTTCTTTAGTGTTAAATTTATCAATATCCTTTTAATTATAAAGGATCTTTAGACTGCATTTGTCTAGATCAATTTATATCCTTATAAACTCATTGAAAAGATTTTATAATATTCATAAGTTATTTATTAGTAATCTATATTCGGAAAAATTTTTCTATTCTTGAAGACTATTAACTATATCATTATTTGCATTATTCTCAAGAAATATAATAATAGTTCAAATTTAATAATTACAAAAATATATAATCATAATGAAGTAATTGAAAGAAGTATATGATCATATGAGCATTATTTGATATGATGAAAATTAATATTTATTAAAATAAGAATGATGAATGGTAATACTATCAGTGAATTATTAATTTAATTTATAATAAATTAATGTCTATCCAAACATTAAAAAGAAAATTAGTATAAGAAATTTTAAAATTGTATTTTAATATTATAATTGATTTACCTTTCTCATCCAGTTTATTCAAATTAATTGCTAATATAATAAATAAAAAGAATAAAATATTAAAATCACATTTGTATTAAATGATTAGTATAAATCTTATATTGAAATTTTGAAGTGACTCTTGTAATGACCAAGAAATATTAAATCTCTAAGTTTTTTATTCTAAATTAAAAACTATTGCCTAATTTAATATAATATTAAATGATATAACTATTTTTATAATTTATATTCATTGATTCAATTTCTTTAAGCAAATTTCTAATTTAATATGTTAAACATACCTTTTTAATTTTTTGTATATTGATCATCTGGATCAATCTTTAATGATTTCTCATAATAAATTAGAGCTTCTTTATATTTTTATTGATCTCGTAAACAATCACCTAACAAATACAATTAAATGATACCTTTGCATTAAAGAGAAAATGTATGTTGTGGATTGATTAAAAGTGCTTAATCCAGTAATTATAAAGATTCATTATATTTATTCAATAATCTTA